CAGTACAAATGAATTCAACAAATGGTCTATATGTAATCAAAGGTGCATACAATCAAGAAATATTACAAGATTTATTGGACGGTTTCATAAGCAAATTTGTACTATGTCGGTTTTGTGGCAATCCTGAAACAGAATTAGTAGGTCAAATTTTGAATGATTCAGATAAACTGAAAAAAAAACAAAGAAAAAATGTCGAGTTAGTATAGTTATAAGTGATGAATAGCTGTGTACAAATGAACAATCCAACTTTTTGTCAAAAAAATTATATTCAGACATTGATCGTCAGGGTGCTACCATTCTATCACTAATATCCTTTTTAGTAGAGGAGAAAAGAATTCATATTATAATCAATTCTTTATTTAATGTTACAGAGCTTTTACAAGAAAAATGGCAACAAAATTTGTCAACGATGCGATGCTTGTGGTAATACAAATGCAATTAGCATGGAATCTCATAAGTTAACGACGTTTATTTCAAAAAATTGTTTGCAAGAAAACGGAAATAATGAGGGTCATAATTCACAAGAGAGCATTCCAACTGAACAAGGAGCAACAGTAAGTCGATTGAACTCCAATGTGTAGCATTCCATTTCAATTGTCTAGAATAATGGCAATGATGATGATGATGATGGGAATGAAGATTGGGGCGAGGACTTAGCATCAAATATCACTAAGTTGGACATTCATGTTAAAAGTATGATTCAATCAGAAGATTTCGATAACCTGGCTCTCGAGAATTGTGAACAATTCATATCTTTATTGAAAGTTGGTTCACTATTGAATTCATTCAAATGAATATTTTACTTGTTGTGTATCTAGAAAAAAAAATTGGCTAATCAATTAAATGATCCTCTTTCAATTCAAGAGTTGATCATTGAAGTTGAACGATCGAAAATACTTGAAAAAGTCCCATTCTTTGTTCCAGAATATTTATTTACAGATCAAATTGTCAAAGAAATTGAAGCATATAAAATGCTACTTCAGAAAGTATGTTTTCAATTTATTGCGTCGCCTGTTTTTTTTTAATTTAAACGATCTATTCAATAGCTGTGCGCAAAGAATAACAAAGGGCAACAATATCTGTTGCATGGACTAGAAACAATCATCGGTACGAACAATGAAATACGAGCCAAATTATTCAATACAAAAGGAATGTCAAAAATTCTTCTTAAACGTTATGAAGAAGACATCATTGTAGAAGAAGTTTTTTATGCATGGCATAAAAAGGTAAAACTAATTAGAATGATTGATTTTCTATTTACTAATATTGATGATTATTGTTTAGGCATCGAAACGACTCGTTGATAAAGCAATATCAGAAGATATTCGAGAGTATGCCAAGGAATTCATCGAATGGTTACGCACAGCTGAAGAATCGAGTGATGAAGAAGTCGATGAAGTCTCCAATCTTCGATCACCAAGTGAAAATGATCTTGGACACTAAAGAACTCAAACGTATCTTCAGAAGTGCTCGAAAATTCTCATAATATCAGTGGCGTGTGTAAATGTGTGACAGAATTCCATTAATATCCAAGATGCCTGAATAAAGTGACCCGCTCATTGAAAAATTGTGATCAAAGCTCTCTTTCTCTGCATAGTTGCGCGTTTGTGTTACAAAAGAAATGAAATCCTTTTGTTGCCCTCCAAATCACAGACAATATGTTCTTTGTATTTTTACACACCGAATTGCTTGTTTTCTGTGTGGGTCAGGGTGAGATAGAGCTGGATGTGGGTGTAAAAGCAGAGCAGACCAACAACCACATCCACACCCATACCCATACTCTTACTTTATACAAGCAGACAAGTTTACATGCAAACGTATTTTTAATTATCTTGATATTATTTATCGATCTATTTATTGATGTTTAATTTAAAAAATGAAAATAAGCCACTATCATTGTTCACTATGAGTCATTTTTTGTTTTGGTGATTGTGCAATACTTGATATATTTTAGTAATTACAGGTTATCGCCTCAATTACTTCTTTTAAAATAACTATAGTATTTTCATTATTTAAAGATTTTGCACTTCTTCTCGACAGGTGAATATAGTTTATTTTGATTTCTGATCAAGATCAAAAATATGATTCTTTGAATTTCAAATATATATATGTTGACAACAACGTTATTCGTAATTCGTTTATTCTGCAAGACATGTTTATCAATTTTGGTCAGTCGAACTGTTAAAACTATTGAAAAAAGGTATTTAGGAAAATCGCTAATATCGTTTCAATATCGAAGATTATTAAATAGTGCTCTTTATGTATTAATCTTATTAGATTTTTTTTAGCGCATATCTATATAATTACTAAAGTTTGCCATTCTATTTACTCTAGATATTTCATTTTTATGATGACAGATGCAAATTTGAATGAGGATGTTTTTAAGAAGACGATGAGAAGTAATATTCTCTTATTTGACAAATGGAATCTTGACGATATTCGTATTTCTGACGTGTCACTCGAAGTTTGTTTTGAACTTATTGTAGACGCCATTGTTGATAATAAAAAGAAAATATTTGTTCCCCATTCAAATCTCTATTCTCATGGAAAACAATTTCATCAAGCTACTTGTCCAATTGTCGAACGTTTAGTATGTATCCTAATGTTTCATGGACGAAATAGCGGCAAAAAGATAATGACTATGCGTATCATTGAAGACGCTTTTTATATTATTCACCAACGAACAGGAGAAGTTAATATAGAATAAGAGAAAAGTGATGTTGTTTTACATTTATTTTTAAAATATAGAATCCAATTCAAATACTTATCGATGTAGTTATCAATAGTAGAGTACGTCCAAATTTAATACGTATGAATCGTTTTGGTCTTAAGCCCCCCTCCCCCCTCAGAAATGAGTTTCCACTTTTGACGGTCTTTTCATGCTGAAATTTTCAGGGATGACTGATCTTGGTGAGATACACTTCTAGTAAAAATTTCAGCGCGATTGGTCATACTAGACAGAATTTCCAGCTGATTCATGGATCATTTTTGGCCTTCAGGAGAATTGGTATAACTGCGTCATAAGAAGAGGTAGAGAGCTCGGGCTAGTTTCAAATTAAAATACATGTCAGTGTGCAACTTTTGTCCGAACAGAATTTTGATATTCCGTCCTATTTGTTTTTTATGAGCATTTTAGTGCGAGGGTCTCAAAATTAGCATAAAAAATGGTAGTCCAACGACAGTAAATTCTACTTTTCTCAGCCCAGGAACCAACTTTCAAAAATCCGTTCGGACAAGAGTTTACTCTGATCAAGATTTTTAAAACAAAAAAAAATATTGGTAATAGTTCGAAAAATGAGGGAGGAGTTCCAATTTTTCTGATTGGAAATCATGTTCTGAGAAAAACATTAAAAAAGTTTTAGAAGTGGTTTTTTTCGGTCAAATTCAAAAAACTCATATTAAAATGGCATATTTTCAATAAATTTTCTAAAACTATTTTAAGGCACGTAAAAGATGCAGTAAAACTAACGCCATCTGACATGCGGGTTAATATCAAAATGTTCTATTCAATGAAAATTGAAGTAGTAACTGAGTTTTTCTAAAACTGAAATTTCTCCGAAAATATGATAGGGAAGTTAAAGTCTGATCTGACAAGTCTTTGAAAAACGGATCATTTTCCAAAAATTTATATATATTCTGAAAGAGGAAGCTTCGCTCTATCTTTCTGTGATAAAAACTCAATTTTGATATTGTTTGAAAAAAATCGATTTTCTGACGGGGGGGGGGCCCTTAATATGAACCAATTTCACCCAAGTAAGCAAGAAATAACAGAAGACGGTCGACATGACTAGTCCGAAATGTCCGCAACACCCGTCAGATCTAGTCTGAAACGTCTTGCACATCCGTCATGACCAGTCATCTTTGGGAGAAATGTCCTCCAAACACGTCTGGCCTAGTGTTGAATGTCCTTGAACCCTGTCATGTCTAGTTTGTTTTGTCCGTTGAACCCGTTCAAACTAGTTCGAAGATTAAAAAAAGAAGATAAACGGTGGATTCGTACATCCAACCCGACAGTATTCGAAACTTGACGGGCATCTTGACGCCAGACCAGAACACTGAGATAGACTGCCCGTCAGTTTATACAGTCTAAATCACAAATTGACTCCCGTCCATCCACTAGACAATCAGAGATCATTCGATATCAAACGACTTTGATTAGCCTGAAATGTCTTTAATAGTAGTCAGGGCTAGTCCAAAGCGTCGTCTGTACTGGTCATGACTAGTCCTTTTTTTAAACACTGTGTCGCTCATTCTAGTCCGAACTGGTCTGAAAAACCCTAAACAATCCACTTTCTTTGGACTAAATACATCCTCTTAATTCGTTTAAACTGATCAATAATGAATAGTTAAAGAAGTATGGTGCGCATAGAAAAAATTTTCAATATGTGTATCATTTGTTAAAAATAATCGATGGATAATCAAATGCATTTAGCATATGGATTAGATAGGAGAATAATAATCGCTTCATTGCCTGTCTTGTACTCAAATCTTCGTAAATTGATAACTAAACACGATCTGTTGCATTATGATTACGGAAATTGATAAAATTCATTATTATCTTATATTAAAATTATATCAATTACTACTAGTAGTATCAGTTTTTTCTCTTTTTAAAACGATAATCAGAGAGTCTGTCATAATCAATAGTGAAGTCAAAGATAGATATTATACTTTATGCATCCCTGTCTTAATATATTTTATTATATTTTGTATTTTCATATGTTGAAAAGCTACGAGTATATCGAAACATAAAAGAAAGTAGGATTAAGTACAGAGAACAATATTTATCTCGTAGCGAGGAATACTAATTCATATATAGTTAAAAACTCTCAGATGTAGTAAATTTATTTTGTTTCATGCTGTCTAAATGATCTCGTATTCTGTAAAAGATAATTTTTTATTTATATGAGAACATGAAAAAACTTTGAGTAAAACTGTATTAAATAGCATCTGACAAATGATTATGAACATGCAGAAGTTGATCTCTTGATCATATGACTCAGTGGTCTAAATGATGAGTAAGTGATACATTGTATGCATGTTCCAATCTAACCTTCATCCTTATATATTTCCATTTAGACTAGTCCGGACTCGTCCACTATGCATGGCTACAGCTCGTCCTATACTGTCCCTGACGTCCTTACTTTTTTAAGTTTATGTCATTTGGTCGACATAACTAGAAAAAAGACGAGTCATTTAGCCCGTCTCGTGCTTACTTGGGTGGCACTGACGTTTACTGATATAGATAAGTCTGATACATCAGTAAACGTCAATGCCCCAGTGCCTTAGTATTCCAGTGGTATATATGACCGTAAATACGGTGTAAGATCGTTTTTGGAGTCCATAACGATCCATCTACGATATTGAAAACTTGCACATCTAGTGCTTCGTTCACTAAATAATACTAAAAATAATTTTATTTCAACGGTAATTTAAAAAAATCTAGTAAATAATTTTTAACATGTATGGTTCACTTCCATTTGAGATATTCAATATAGAAACGAATTCTTGTTTATTAACAAAGTCAATATTAATTGTCTTAAAATTTATCTATTTTTTCAGAAGATCATATAAACAATTTCCATTAAAAGTAATTTATAGATGCTAGAATAATTAATTATATATATTTTTAAAAAATCTACATTATTTAGAATCGTTCTTCTTGACATAAAACAGTTTATAAACAAATAAATAGAAATTTTAACTTTCATATTGAAATGTTCAATGAAATATAAATAAAGAAACCATGATAATCAAGAATATCCTAAAAAAAGAACAATAATAATGAAAATAATCAGATCTATTACACAAAAGTGTCAAATGTCATTAACATTTCTTATTTTTATCAATAAAAATTTTCTCTTTATGAAATTTCAATAGAACTGTTATAGTGTCTTACATACATCATGATATCATTTTGACATTTCAATATCATTCCTACCAATTTTTTTAATTCCATTCATTAAAGATTCCAAATATTGAAACATATTACTTTGCTAAAGAACAAGAACAAAATAATTCTTTGAAAAATTAACAATAGTTAATACTTGATTTTGTATTATTTGAATTTGATTTTCAAGTGTTTTTATTTTATTTGATGAAATTTCTTGTAGTGAATATCTAAATATAAATTTATATTTTTATTTAATTTCAAAAAAACAAATCTATCTTACATTCGTTCTTCATTAGAATCAATTTGTTCTTGATTATTTTTTAAAGAATAAAAATAAATTTCATGTCCTAATGCATCTTCAATTTCTTCAATTTGTTTTGTTAATATTTTATTTATATTTATTTCTATTTAAATCAATCAAAATTTAACAAAATTTAATTAAATTAAATTTACTTTTAGCTTGATTTTTTTCTTCAGTATATTTCATATAAAACCATTTTATTTTAATAATATGTGAAAATATATAAATTATTATACGCCAAATATGTGATATGATAATTAATGGTGGTGGTAATAATGGACGTTTTAATTCATAACATACTAATGAATATTGTTGAAATTTCCATATACAATTTGTATCCAAATGTAAACGATCAAATGTATTACTTTAAATTAAAATAAATATTTTCAAAAAAGATTTTTTTTGAATAAAAATAATACCTAAACATTGCTATAAGAAGATTAATTAAAAGAATATTTGCAACAGTCATATATGCAACTAATAAGAAAAATATAACATAACCACTTAATTCATAATTTTCTAAGAACAAAATATTATCTTATTTTATATAAATTTATTTTGAAAATAAACAAACTTTCAATTTGATCAATTTCTTGTAATTCACCAAATATTTGCCAATAAGCAAAATTAATTATATAACGTGGTAAATGCCAAGAATATTTCTCAGCATCATCTAATAAACTATAAGCTGGTACACCAAATGATAATATAAATACAATAAGCATTAACATAAAAAATTTAAGATCATGAATCTTTATTAGAAAAAATAAATATTAATATTATTCAAAAATTAAACTTAATCAATTTACCATTTCTCCAATCATAACAAGTTTAGGACCAAGTCTTTTTATAGCTGAAAATATATCAAGTGTTCGAATATACCAAATAGATAAATCAATAGCTAATACTATTCGTGCATAACAAAAACATTGATTTATTGGTAAAAATCGAAGAATACAACCAAGAATAAATAGAATTATAGCTAATGCATCTAATTTATTCCAAAATATAGAAAGATATACTTTAATCTTCTTATATAATGAGTGAACTTTATTCGCTCTTATCTAATTAAATAAAAATTATAGAATTTATAAGAAAAAAAACAAATAAAAACTTCTTTTTTACTTGTCGAATTTCTTCACAAAATAAAGTAAAAACCCATAATACAAGTATTAATTCACTTGTTGATGGTCCATAATGAGATCGAAGATTAGATTTTGATGAAGAATCTACATTTATAGTCATATTAATATTTGTTAAATTTGAAATAGATTTTTTTTCACTATTATTATTTTCTTCTTTGTTTGGAAAACATCGATCAGATTGAAATTCATATCGTGGAAAATAAGCATATAATATTACGTATGAAAATAATATTAAAAAGATCACATGAGAATACTATAAAAGATAATGTAAAGTGATAATTTTTTTCATATCAACAGAATTCTTAAGTTTCCGCTTTTTTTAAGAATCGAAAATTCTCATTTGTTACTATATAATAAAACTTACTAAACTGTACAGATATTTTACAAATGGAGCATGTAGAAACATTGAAACATTGTTTATGTATTGATTAATGCCAATTTTTATTCTAAATTTACAGTAGAATGAAAGTTTTGATACAGAAATATTTTCATATAACTAATAGGACAAGAACTTTCTATTCATATTCATTATCTTTTGATTACACTCTCAAATTCTATGAAATGCTATTAAGACTGATAGAAGTTTCGAATATTTATACAACACAAGCAAGAAAGTTAATAAGATAGATCAGTACGGGTTTCATCTCTCTAGTCAGTGATGGATCTAGGATTTTTAAAAACGTTATATCTCACGTTCAGAGCATGGGACCCACATGAAAATTATGTAGGATGATACTGGACCCAAATGGAAGGTTTTTACGAAAAAAATTTTTCGATCGACGTTTGCGAAAAAATTTCGTTTTTAAAATCGCCGCCCTCTCAAATTTTTGTTTTAGCGATAACGTATTGTTAAGAATTTCATCGTAATCTACATCGAATTTCATGTAAAAATATGCATCCGTTCAGGAGTTATAACGTTTTCAATTTTTGAAATATGTCCCAAAAAACGGAATAAAGGTTCAAAACGTTATAACTTCCGAACGGATGCATATTTTTACATGAAATTTGAAATCTGTCGATGAAATTCGATGTAGATTACGATGAAATTCTTAACAATGGATTATCGCTAAAAACAAAAAAATTTGATGGGGCGGCGATTTTAAAAACGAAATTTTTTTCGCAAACTTCGATCGAAAAATTTTTTTCGTAAAAACCTTCCATTTGGATCCAATATCATCCTACATAAGTTGAGAATACATCCCATTCCGCGATGTTGAACATTCCGGAATCAGTTCCCGTCCCGGAATCTATTCCACCGATTCCAGAACTAAATTCAACCACGCCACAATCCGATTCCGGAATCATTCACAACAGTTCCTATCGATTCCGGAATCGCTCAGCCTTGGCATCACTCTCATCGGCTGAGGCTTATAACTGGATGCAATTCCGGGTATCGGATGGATCCGGAATCGCAAGGATTTGGAAGGAATTCCGCGGAATCCCCAGTGATTCCGGAATCGCTCAGCCTTGATATCACTCTCATCGGGGTGTGAGTGTGGATATCTCATCACCCACACCGCCATCCACACCCTCATTACATCGATAAAGATTGATAGAATAAAAGCACAAGTTGTAATTCCGGTATCGGATGGAATTGGACGGAGTTCCTACCAATTCCCACCGATTCCGGATCCGCTCAAATCAGGAATTCCTAAGCGAAATCGGATGGTCATTACATCGGTAAAGATTGATAGAATAAAAACACAAGTTGTAATTCCGGAATCGGATGGAATTGGACGGAATTCCTAGCAATTCCCACAGATTCCGGATCCGCTGAAATTTGGAATTCCTAAGCGGAATCGGATGGTCATTATATCGAGAAAGATTGATAGAATAAAAACAGAAGTTGTAATTCCGGAATTGGATGGGATTGGACGGAATTGCTACCAATTCCCACCGATTCCGGATCTGCTCAAATCCGGAATTCCTAAGCGGAATCCGATGGTCATTAGATGGATAAGGATTGATAGAATAAAAACACAAGTTGTAATTCCGGAATTAGACGGAATTGGACGGAATTCCCGGAAATTCCTAGCAGTTCTCACGGATTCCGGATCCGCTGAAATCCGGAATTCCTAAGCGGAATCGGATGGTTTTTACGTCGATAAAGATTGATGGAATAAAAACAGAGGTTGTAATTCCGAAATTAGAGGGAATTGGACGGAATTGCTACCAGTTCCCACCGATTCCGGTGTTGTTTAATTGGGGAATTCCTAGGAATTGTTGCGAACTTGGTTTGTATTCGATTCCGGAATCGCGGGAAACGATTCCGGGGTCGGAACTGGTTCCGGAATGTTCAGCTTAGCGGAATAGGATGACTGCTCCATAAGTTCCATGTGTGTCCCATACTGTGAACGTGAGATATAACGTTTTTAAAAATCCTAGATCCGTCACTGTCTCTAGTAGATGTTCATTAAGCATTATCAGATCTCTGTTTTTCTTTAACGTTTTATAAAAGTGGTTTGCTATACTTTAAATATCACTTTTCTCATGAGAAATAAAAACAAAGTTCTAATAGTAATTGATCGCAACCTCTTCCAACAACCGGCATTGGTAACAGTAACACATTTTGTTTCTTCATCGAAACCATCATCCATTAATCTCGAACATGTCGCATCTGACACTGTGCAGACTCTAGAGAAGAAACATTCCGTAAGTTTAATACAAATCAATTAGTTTGATTTAAAATAGACTACTTATCAATAGCAGGCTTTGATCTTGATCTACGAAAATGAAAAATATCCGATCTATCTTGAAAATTCTATTAATAAAAGTAATCAATCATTCAATATAAAAAAAATTCCAAAATTCATTTGACATACATCAGGTTGATTATATGTATTGTTTTCATCATAATAAGGAAGAAAAACACTATACCAAAGAATAAAACTTGAAAATATTATTGACAAATTTCCAACGTGATGATCAATTCGACCATACCTAGACGATAAAATAAAGTAAATAAATATTATATATAAAATAAAGATACCATATATCTTTAAGTACAGCTTGTACTCCGTTTTTAGCAATAAATGATTTTGATTCAGCCAAAACAGCTAATTGTAACCAAGTAACATTATCAAATTCGGGTACGGCTCTAATAATAGCTTGTTTACATTTCAAAGGATTTGCTGAATAAAATTTTTCAAGTATTTCTACAGCAAAATATTCCAATTGATCGATCCATTGATTATATTTAAGATTTCTTTCTTTTTTTGCTTTACTTTTATAAATTAATATTGCAATGAAAGCAGCACCTAATCATTTGAAAAATTTATCCAAAAAAAAACTTTCATTTATTTAAATACATACAAATTTTATTTCTTCCATGAGTCCAAAAAAGTAAAGCTAATTCATGTCTACCTGTTACAACTGACCAAAGAAAAAGTTCTTTAACAATATCAATTTCACTTATTATTGATGATGAATCATCTTAATATAATAATAACAATTAATAATAAACAAAAGATTATTTTTAATAAACAAACTTTTAGAATTTGTTGTTAAATTATCTCGATCAAAAATAGTATCAATTAGAGAATGATTATCAATAAATGGTTGAATTATTTCTCTATAAATTGATCTTAAAGGACTATCAAATTCATTTTTAAAATAAATATTCTAAAAATATTGAAAAAAAATTTATTTATTTTAATTATAGATATAAAAATATACTTCGGCTTTATAAAGATCTAAAAGTTGATTATTATTTTCAAATAAATCATGTAATGAAAAATCATGATCAAGAATTAATTCGACAAAATTTGCTTGATTTTCTATCAAAGCTTTGAAAAATAAATCATTTAATTCAATTCTCTATATTATAATTAAAGAATTTATTGTAAAAATTTTCTTGAAATTTTTTACTTTCCAATCTCGTTCATCTTTCATAATAGAATTTTTAACAATATCAATTTGTTTCCATTCATATGCTAAATTTAATTGTTCACGTTTTTCTTCTAGTTTTGCTTTGCAGGAATTATTTTCACTAGTAACTATTAATAATATTGTATATTAAACATTTATTTATTTCAATTACCTTTAAGAAGAGCTTGTAAAATAGAGAAATTAACATCCTCACCACTAAGATCATGTACTTTGAAATCAATAAAATTTAAATATATATTTCGTATTTCAACACATTCATATATTAATTCAAAAAAATCTAATCCTTCATCTGGTGCATTTGTACATGAAGTTTCAGCCATTTCATGATTAACTATATGTAATGCTTCACGAATTTTATTTTTTATTTGTTCATTTTGTTCTATTAATGATGATGAATCTTCACTACAAATACGAACAAATCTCAATAAATGTTTAAGATAAGAAAACAAACTTTGTTTGAGCACATGATTCCATTTTTGACTTGTATTCATTATACAAATGATAACATTTAGCAAATAAATCACAACATCCACCTGTACCTTCAACAAGGACAACAGGAATTCTATCTTTAACAACACTTTGATAAACTAAAACACAAAAAAAAAATTAAGTAGATAGTATCATTAAACATAATTAAACCTTTTTTAATCGCATCCGCACAGCCTTCAATAACAACAACAATAACAGGCATATTATCTAAATGAAAATGAAAAAAAAAAACGAATAAATTCTTCTTATCATGAATATATTAACCTGATTGTTTTGATTGTGAATATGATCTTATTGATTTATTTTTTTTTTGATTATTATTTGTTATAGTTTGTAATGAAAAACCTTCACCTAAAATTGCTCTTTCAAATCGAGCACGAAATTTAATTGCACATCCATGTTTATATTTCGTTTCATCATCAATAAAAATAAAATGTGTATGATTTGGTTCAAGTGGTGTTGTCTCTTTTTCATTACTTTTTAATTTTGAATAACTAACATTTCTATCGTGACCATCAAATTGTGAGACATTTGATATACATCCCCAAGAAGCAATACCCTTTTGTTTTTTTTTTATTTTACATATGATTTTTATTAAATCTTAATTAATAACTTACAACTAAATATATGGGTCGAGATGGATCTGAATTTGTTCGAATTATTTCACCAAAAAATCTTGTTACTCTTGAATTTAATCCAGCAGTAATTATCCAAACATCTAAAGAAAGATAAATAAATTTGATTTCATAAATAAATTGTAACGTAAAATCTAACTTGTAGTTTGAGCTATTTGAAGAAGACCTTCACGAAATATTCGAAATAATTTTGATCTCAGTGAACTTTCTTTCGCACTGCCCATTATCGATATAACAAGTGATGGACGCTAATAAAATACTAATCATTATTTAAACAAAAAAGATAAAATCAAAAGATTTACTGTATCATAATTTTGTTCAATAAATAATTCTTTGACTTGTGTAGGACAGACATCCGGCGATATTCGAATAAAATTAGCTTGATTACAGTTATTTTGAGGAACTAAAACAAAAATTAATTAAGTCAATAGGAATATTTCCTATAACAATATATCAATACTTACAAGTTATTGTACCATATGATTTAACATCAACTCTACTGAATAACTATACAAAAAATATAATTCAATATGAATAAAACACAAAGAAATAATCTATTTACATAATCACTATCATCACTAATAATATTAGTTGAAAATGGTGATTGAATATTACATAAATAATCATCATTTGAATTTGAACAAGTCATACTGTTTGCCCTGATATTACAATTTAGTTATCTGAGTGCAAATCTTCTAACGCAAAAAAAAAGAAATGCGTAGCAAAGTGCGAGAATAGCAAAAGAATAATAAATATTACCTATATATCGTCTCTTTATAAATCGTTACCTTTCATTATGAAACGTGTCTAACGTCTATCTAGACGTTTATTTTCTTTAGAAGAATATATGTGTTAAATGAAGCGTAACATATGCAAAATATATTTAACTAGTTATTTTAGTCTCATATCATTAATAATAGGTATATTATTTTTTGTGTCACGTGCACGTTCAGTAAAAAGATAAAGAAGAACTACTGTGAAATAATGCAGAAATTCTTGTTTTTATTAAAGTGAAATCTAGTTGTTCATAGAAAATTTTGTTTTTCATTTGAGTTATGTTTCACAGAATATTCATTCTTGTACAATATATCTGCTTATTACTTAATTTTTTATGAATAGGTGATAAAACTGTGAATTTTGAAAGAGCGACAAATTCTTCTATAGATGCAACTTCCAATACCGGATAGTTCATCTGTAGTCTTTTGAAATATAAAACAAATCAAGAGATTCGAGCTTTCTTCTATCTCGTACTATTTAATTAAGAATTACATCATCAGAAGCAATAAAACAAATGAAATACTTGATTAAATTTACAAAGTTTTATTTTATACTATTCAGCAAGGATTTTAGAAAATAAATTTATGAAAAAAAAGGAATAAAAATTGACTGTTCAGTTTTTTTTTCATTTCAAAAAAATCAAATCTTGTTCTTATCGGACGTAAACAGTTCTTTGATAAAGCATAGTTTTACTCTAAGTCATGTTGTAGCACATATATATATATACAAGATAGAACGAATTAAATCTAACAATATGATACTTTCAGTCTTCCTTTATTCAAACAAGAGCAATTTAGAATTATTGCAGACAATCGACTTCCTTAAGTAAAGATACTCAAAAAATAATCAAATGAATAATCTTAAAAAAGAAACGAAACATCATCTTATGATCAAATACCTAAAAAAGTATTCAAACTATTTCGATATATATATCAACACTATAGTGATTTTAACTCTGTTTGTCCGATCTTTAAATCAGTATTCTCTTTTGCAATAAACCATCATGTTGCTTGATACGAGAGAAAGAACAGAAAGAGAACATTGTCACGTGCATCATCAAACATGTAGATGCTCGTACAAAAAAAAACAACAACATGAAAATCTTTCTTCGAACACAGTACAAACTCGAACGATTCTTTTTCTTGATAAAATAAACAAACCTCTTATTTTTAAGTAAAATTCTTTTCAGTGACAAATATTTGACTTTTTTGGTGATAGAAGATTCATTGTTTCAGAGATACTATTTGTACATGAGAGTCCAGCAATCTTATCATTGCATTGACATCTACCATAAATATCTAAATTTAGAAAAAATGCTAATCCAAAGTCTGTTCTGATCGAAGAGAAAAACGTTTAGTACTTGCAGAAAAAAATGTAAAGATTAAATGAAAGGCTCTTCTTAGTAAATCATTTTTTCAAAACTACTTTCAAAGAGTACAAACATACATGCTTCAAAATTTTAACACTTACTCACTCCTATTAGCTATTTCTACTAGTTATATTGTTATCAATCTACCATAAGGCTAAAATTTTTAAATCTATTTCTCTTTTGTATTTTTTCACATAAGAATAAGAACAAATTCAAAGAAACATTTCTATAATTCGTATAAATAGTAGATTTATGAATTGTCTTTTTTTTGTGTACAATAAACAGAGACATACGGGCATGGTCACGCATCGGTCACCCTTGTATGGAGAGTAGAGTCCTGCGGTTCCAACTTTTTTGGAACCGTGAACTGACCCGAATCCGAAATATTTCAGTTTCTCAGAACCGGAATCGGAACCGGAACCGTGAAATAAAAACGGGTAGAACCGGGCTGGAACCGTTGGAACCGAAATTTTTTTATTGACAACTTGGATTTATTTATATGGTATTAATTCCATATGAACATGTCATATTATATGGATTTTCTCATGCTTCTTTTTCTTTCTCTTGTACCTTTTGAAAAAGTTGCTTTTCAATAAATTAATGAAGATGAACAATAAAAACAATATAGAAATTTCTGAAAAAATGTAATATAAATTATTATGTGATATATCACCGGTTCCTAGACGGTTCCCAATACCCCTCTAGGAACCGAACCGAGAACCGGTTTTTTTGAATTTTGTTAACTGGAACCGGAACCGGACCCGCGGTTCCGGTTCGGTTCTCGGGTAGTAACTAGAACCGCCGCACTCTAATGGAGAGGGTTTGAAATCACAAAAGTGAGGAATATTGTCTCGACAATCGGAAGTGTACTATCAACAGATTATCAAACATATTGCAAGCTATGAGATACTCAGCAGAGAAGTGATATAAATTCCATTTTTCATCTGACGGGTGTCGAAAAAGAGATTTATTGACTAATTTCGGCAAAAAAAGTTATTTTATATCTCTATTTCAAAGTTACTATCTGTGTCCTGAAATTTTTCATATTCAAGTATCATTATGGACTTCGAACGTTCTACGAATAGTCAAATAAGTCACAAAACTCTTTTGGACATTGTTTGGTAACTGTTTATAACATCACTTCAATACCATTCAGGTTAATTTAATATAATATATAATAATTTTTTCATTGTCTTTTCTAACAATAGTATAGTTATATCAGTTTTGACTTGTGCTCTTATAGCTACCATATGGCTCACTTATCAGTTTTATTTTAAGGCATCATAAAAGTAATATTCTAATAGATATGATTTAACAACATGAAGATATTTATAAAACATAGTGAATTTATATAATATCGATCAATTATAAGATCATTAATATTTTTCTGAGTAGTAAAACTGAAATACAGATAATTAAAGAACAAACATATTTGTCAGTGTATTTGATTTTTATGTAATATCTTGTTTTAATTGTATTCTTAAATTATATTTAATATAGTTATCTCTATTGTTATTGAATTGATTAAAACATGTTATCAATCTAAAAACAAACAATCCTCTTCGTCGCGTAGAAGTACATATGTACTAAACAAAATATTTTACAAAATTTTCTAAATAAAATTAATTATCTGCGCTATATATAGTTCTGGACAACAATAGCTGATACGGTGCATGGATACATTTGACAATACATATTGATTTCAAGAACCAAAGTGTCCTTCATCAGTCTATATGCTCTAAATTTATTGTTTAGATATTATTTTTCTTTGCTAACCATCTTCTCTTCACCATATTGACATAAATTTTCTCGTTAAACTGCTTATTTGAAAGGCTATTCTCGTTACTTCAAAACAAACGAGACATAGTCCTTCCATTAAGAATCTTTGTTGAAGAGAAAAAACTGTTGTATTCTTAGTTAGATTGATCTTTTTCATCATGACTCTCATCAAAGTCTTTTGAAAATTTTATTATAAATTTCTCATAAAACAAAAAGTGTATTCTAAAAGGTGTAGAAGCACATCGTTAAATATAATCAAATTAGAGCTATGACACAAGTTTATTATTGCAGTACATTTTAATTACTAAAATCTTGTCTATGTATTCTGAACATAGGTGTCACACCATAGTATGTAGCGAGAAGAAGCAATTGCTTCCCCTAACTACCTCCATTTTATAGATAATTTAACCGTAACTTTACCAGTTATGTAAATTTGTGCAACATACCAGCAAAATAAAATGTACAATTGCTTCTTCTAGAAAAATTCGGAGAAGCAATAAGTTATTCCTTCCCTAAAACGTTGACGTTATGGTGCTCATCACTCTCAAACTCTTAAAGCCTCTTCTTTCAAAAATCGATTTCAAGGTCAAGGATATTCAACTCTTCGAAACTTTCCAAAGCACATTGAACCTAAGTTGAAGACGATATGGCGAAATTTTCAGTCGTATACCATGATGTTTTGATAAAGATATTAACCAAACGTGGGCAAAAAAAGGGTCATTTCGCAGCCTATTTTTTTGTGTCTGGATTCTTTCCACATATTACGATTTTTTTCCTTGAAAGAGCATCTCCGGATGCAGAACACCATAGAATCTCTCTTTTTTAAATTCTCACTTTTTAAGGAAAAGAATGGATCATAAGCTTAATAATTCAAAAAAACTACTACAAAGAGGCGTCAATTCACATAAGTGTTTGTAAGTATAATAAAAAATAAAGTTTAATTCAAAACAGTATTCTGTAATGCCCTGTATTTTGACATGCGCTTTCAAACAAAAAGAATTGAACATAGACGAAGAAATTTGGCTTACACGTTTGAAAAATTATAATCTAAGAAAAAACGAAAGACGTTTTCCGTTTTTTTCTGAAAGGTCTATTTTTTTAAGTGAATGATAAAATTTATCGAAAATTTTGCCGCAAAAGTGAGTGTTAATTTAAAAACCATGTTGCTTTCAAGATCTTAATTTGCTGTCAAACCAATTAGTACGCAAGCTTTCAATAATATGTCTTTGAAAAATTCATTTTCAAAAGAAGTTTTACTGTCGAGCTTTGAACTGCAGTTCGATAGGGAATATAGTCTCATTCTAAAGTTTATTGCTAATAACAAAAAAAAATTCTACTTACTTACTCACACTGTGCGCATCATTAAAAAACAATGTTATTGTCGAAAATTAACGAGTAAAATACGTCACAATCAATGATAGCATAGCACTTTGACATAGACCATATCTTCTTTTATTAACATATGGAATTATATTGTTCGAATTCGCTTATCATGTTCAACTCCTTAGACGACTACTTAAGCATAAAGGTCGAAATCAGTCACTTTTTCGTTAGACATATTTATTCGATCGAAAGCAAAAAAATGAAAAGTTCTTTAACTCGTTTAGAAAATGAAACAAAGTTGAAACGTAATGAAAAATATGGGGAATAAAATAGAAATGTTAAGTGAAGTAGCAGAATTCGATGATATTCCAAAGAATTGATTGAAATCGAATGTAATCGTAGAGAATTGACGAATTTTGTTTATTGTTTCCATTGAATTGCATCGTTCTCGTTCACATCCAACATGAATATGATTAAAATGTGTCTGGTTATCGAATAAAAACTGCGATTGACTTGTAATACCGTTACCCTCTATTAATGTTTCGCACGATGCACAAATTTTGCGAAACACGATCTGAAAGGAGTGTTGAAGTGTATAGGGTAGAAATTTTGGATCCACTCCCCCCCCCCCCCCCCCACAGACCGTGACAGAGAAAATCTATATGGATCCCCCCTCCCACAGACCGTGACAGAGAAAATCTATATGGACCTCCTGCCCCCTTCCACAGATCGCGACAGAGAAAATCCATATGGATCGTCCCCCCCTCACAGACCGTGACAGAGAAAATCCATATCCATCACAGACCGTGACAGAGAAACCTAGTACCCATCACAGATCGTGACAGAGGAGCTCCAAAGACCATCACAGATCGGGACAGAGAAAATCCATACCCACCACAGACCTTGACAGAAACCCAGTGCCCATCACAGACCGTGACAGAGAGATCCAATACCCGACACAGACCGTGACAGACAAATCCAGTACCTATCACAGACCGTGATAGAGGGACTCCAAAGACCATCACGGATCGTGACAGAGAAAATTCAAATTCCTTCAGTTACAATATAAAAAGCTCCATCGTGTTTCACATTTTTAATCCCCCAGGGATTTGCGCTAAAAGCTTTTATTTATAGACAACGACTAGAGACTTGCACGGAGTCGTTTTCGGAGTCGCCGTCGGAGTCGATTAAATTGTTTGCCGAAAATTTAGTTTTAGCATAAGAAATGTTTTGATTACCAGGTTGTGTTCTCTGATATTTAATGCATAAGCTGATACATTTTGAAGGTTCCAACCACATCTTATTAAGATTTATGAACATGAAAGAAAGTCGGAGTCGAAAAAAATCGGAGTTGAATCTGACTTGGACTTTCTTTTATGTTCATAAACCTTGATAAGATGTGTTTGGAACCCTCAAAATGCATCAGCTTATGCATTAAATATCAGAGAACAAAACCTGGTAATCAAAACATTTCTTATGCTAAAACTAAATTTTAGGCAAACAATTTAATCGACTCCGACGGTGACTCCGAAAACGACTCCGTGCAGGTCTCTAACAACGACCCTCGACCTCATACCCACAACATCCTATATGAAGTCCTTGTACCGGTGTGTAATTTTTATCAAAAATTATTGGACACACCTCATTGAAATACTCTGTCGCGTATATATTCTCAAAATATCATCATGGTGTGTAATGGAATTATGGCATCATTCTAAAAAAAAAGGAACTCTGCCACGCTTTGTATCTTGACATGCTCTTTCAAACAAAAGTAATAGTCGTTGACTACAATAAATCTTCATCAAGAACTTTGAGGTGTGCCATCAAAAAAATATAAACAGAAAAAGGGAAAAAGATTTTCTATTTCATCTAAAAAGAACATATTTTTTAAGCAGAAAATGATGGAAAGCTTTGGAAAAAAAATGAGATATCGAATAAAAAATCATGTCATCTATGAAAGATCAGATTTCGGACTGTTTCCATATATTTATCTCAATTTTCATGTTTTCGACGAAAATTGGCTTCTTTTGAGGAAGAGATAACTTGAATAAAATAGCACATCTTCATAACCATGTAATGTATCAAGGTATAACTCACCATCAGATGCAATCGTAATCATCCATCTGAGTAACATTGTAACATTCTTTTGATAAGAGACAATTATTTTACTACCTACAACTTGTACGGACAAACTTCACAAGTACGAGTCAAAGTTATCACGTTCGACTGAAGTACAAAAAGCACGTTTTTTTTCGGTTTCATTAAAAACACTTCAAAAGCATTTCTTTTGATGTGTCACCGCAAAAAGATGCCTATTGACACCATTAAGCTGCTTTCTGTAGTGACATATGAAAACAAATGCATATAAACAACAGCACAAGATCTGACCAATTGAATTTCAGTCAAAAGTGATAACTTTGAACCGTATTTGTGAAATTTGCTCGTATAAATAAAAACTTTACAGTGATACCTATCATTTGAAAAGAAAATAGTTGTTTAAGTTTGATGAATAGTGGGATTATTCGAACTTATTTTTTCGGCGAAAATTTTGCAATATCCTTCAAATAAAAAATACAAATATTTTTGTTTCTTAAAATTAAAAGCATCGACGTATGATGCTCAAATAAAGGACATTCTATGAAAAACTTTCGGTCAAAAATTGCTTTTTTTTGACTCTTCATTCTCCAATCTGGATCTCTTCAGTTTTGGATGACACCCTCATCTTCCTATGGAGTCTAATTAAAATTTTTTACAAAATAGTTTAGAATATTGCTAAAGTATTTTGGACATAAATTTTACGTTTAATTGAGGAATTTCTACTTATTATAACGTATGACATATGATCGAGTCCTAATACCAATAAATCGAAGCAGTAAATCAAGATCGTTAAAAATGATCGCGACAAAAACACTTTAGAACAGTCATATTCTTCATATGCTGCAATATTTTCCACATAAATAGATTGGTCATTAGATAATATTCAAACATTAAATCAGTAATCATATCTGTTCTCTTTCAAATAATCTTCAAGTTTAGCAACGGCAATTATTCTCATTTATTATGAATGAACTATTCAAATTTAACATATTACTCTCGAATGTCTATTAGTATTGGATATTACCAGAAACACCATTAAAAAAAAAGTATTGGTTCGTGTGATCCACAAGTAACTGCATGTTAGTGGTACAGAGCTTGATGAACAATTAGTTGCTAAAAGAAAGTTTTTTTCTTTTCATTGATCTGTCTCTGAAATGCATGATGTCTAAAACTGATAATATTGGAAAAATAAGTTTTTTTTTTCTACTTGTAAGCATAGTATATCTCGAAGACATGTTGTGTAATATATGTCAACAAAAATGTATATTAGTGAATTAAATGTATTTCCAGTCGTTTGCCAAACAAGAGTTTCAATGGCCATTGGACGAATCAAACTATTCTGCCTAAAGTGAAATATATCTGATCGCATTATTCATACCACTAGCATTATAGACAAGATCAATAATCTATTTTTGTAGGTATTTAATCAGTCGCATTTCTGAAACCGTCATCGGTAAATAGAGAATCAATTAAACACTCTTTTTCTTTTATAAAACACGATCTAAAAGAAGTGTCGAAGCATAGAAATTAAAATTTAGTCTCCCTCCACAGACTATGACAAGCATTGTCGATATACAATCACATACAGTAATCACAAAAAGTCCCGCTGCTAAATAAATAGTACCTAAAATTTAATTCTTTAGTCTTATAGTTTGATCGAAAATATCAGGACTTGATTGGTATTCATGCGGCGGAGCCACTGAATGCCATGCTTTAATCAAGTTTTCCTTGAAAATTTAACGATTACAGTTATCAATTGAGAAGAGATCCAAGCTGAGACTCATTCAGATAATGGAGGCCAACGCATTTAAACTGTGGAAAACTAGAAAAGTGTCAAAGATACTTTTTTTTCGCTTCTCGGGAAAAAAAAACAATGTTTTCATCATAAATCCTTTACATTGATGCCTGTCAACCTTGAGTTGCTGCTTGTAATCAGGATTTATCGATATCTATTTGTAATCAATACTAAGTAAAAGATGTAAATTAGCAGCAACTGGCATGTTCGAAGATATTGAATAATTTAAGATTAATTTTTAAAAAAAATCAAATCTATCCTGTTTTACTTTTATGCTTTTCAACTTACTATCACTTCCATATTTTTCAGTCGTATGTTACATACAAAAAAAAAGAAAGTTCTTGAAGTCTCGTACATATCTCTATTCAGAATAGACACAATAAAACAACAGCTACATCATATGTGACATTTTAATCCATAGAGATTATGTTAACAGCTTGTATGCTATGAACTTTATCATTGGAAATAATAAATTTCAATTAACATAATTTGATCTTGCTTTATTTCATAGATAATATATTTCAAAAAAAAAAGAAAAAGACATACAAATAATACATGAATATTTCTACAAATACATATATAAAACAAAAAAAGAAAAAAGAAACTTCAAAATTTTTTATTTTTTTTGTGTTTGACGAATTGGACGTTTTGATTTCGTTTTGTTCATTTCCTCAGGAGATGACATAGAACTAAGTGCACCAAATATAACAACAAAAAGAATAATGAGATAATCAACAAAAATAAGTACATATGCAGCTTTATATAAATGTTTATTACAATATTCAGGTAAATCAGGATCAAACAATTCAACACGTAATTTAACTTCAAATACAATAACTTGTCCAGCAATAAACCATCCAATAACACATAGAAAAAGAATAAATGCTCATTGATTAATTCTAGGAAACGATTACTTTTCAAAATCTTCTATCATAAGTTTTACATAGAATAAATTCAATGCTCGATAGACTGATTTCAAGAGTAATTTACCTGATCACTTATTTATGCAAACTGAAAAAATTCAACGAAGATTTTTAATAAATTATTTTTCAGTGATTGATCATCGTTCCGATGTAAACTTCCACGAATAGAAAATAATTGAAAACGTTTTTTGTTTTCTTTCGTTTTGTTCCTAATCGAAGATGAGCTAATTATTTGAAATGAAAATAAATTATTCTAGGTTGGCCTGATTATCCTTGAACAAAATCGTTTATAATATCGTCTATCACTACCATCTATACTAATATATTGATAATCAATATTATTAAATTACCATTCTAACATCAACCTTGAATACCTAGTCGAACATGAAGTTTTTTTGTTTTTATTTTCACCTCATTTTCCATTTAAACATGTTGTTATGACTATGTTCACAATAAGATCCTATATTATGTTTAGAGAATTTTGTTTTCATAAATATTTCTTTATGTTAAACAAGATTTATCAGGTAGAATAAGATGATAATCGTTATCCTCTAATAGCAGAATATTTATTCAAAACGATATTGACTATGTCCACCACGAATATAAGAACGAACTCTTATCAATAAATCAAATATTTAAATGACGAGAAAGATCTTGTTCACCTATTTTATATAAACAACGACTAACAAAACATTTATATCTATCAACGAAAAAAACACACTTAGCTATTAAATAGCTATTTATAAATAAGAATTATATTCTAAATAAAATAATAACTAATCATTCTCTATAGAATAGATTGAACATATTATAGAAATAAATATTCATCTTCTAGATAATTATAATAAATATAATAGATTTATTACTTTTTCAAACTTGACAAAAACACGATAAACAATTAGAAAAAAAATCATTTGTTATTTCTCCTATTAACGAGTGACATCATTTATATAACGAGATATTCAACTCGAATATTTTATCTGACTAACACATTTTTAACAATCAATAACAAATTAACTTTTAACATTGATATTTTTTTTTATCTTTAATCGAGACTAATTATATAGAAATGAAGATAATCATCTATAAGATTATAATAGTTTGTTATCAGTAAATCTAACATTAAATTCTTATCGTGTTTTTTATCTTCGATTCCATGATAAATGATGGACCTTTTCAATTGTAAGTATACTCATCATGGAAACTCTAATAATCTCTCAACAATATGAAAATAATTAAGACTATCGATGCCTACAATCAGAATCAAGAGATAACTCATCGACCAAATAACTCACAAAAAAAAACGAACTAGGAAAAGTTCGTTTAGATGTTATATGAATTAATTCTCGAATAGGTTTATCTAGACCGAGATCACTAGAACAAATATTTTATCGGGACACAAAACCAAAAGAGAAAAAAAACGTTTATCTTGGACATCGGTAGTTGGGATCGTCAACTTATTCCTGTTGAGATAGGAGATTTTGACGAGATTTTTAAAGTCAATACTTTAGTCCGACTTAGGAATAGTAGGAAACGATTTATTCTCGAGTTTAAACTTGAAATGTTTACCGTTGAGATATGATTTGACGATAATACGTTAATTAGAAATATTTTCCATCGTTTTCATATTCTCCTTTATTTACATGTAAGCAGAACATAAAATCTGTTTGTGTATATGACCTATATTAAAAATAATATTTTATCATACGATATATCGTTTCTATAAGAAGAAGAATATCATCTTATACTTTTATTAACATATTATCCTAGCTCGTTATCATTTAATATCAATAATAACGTCTCTTTATTATTTAAAATGTTGATTATCCTATTATTATAGATTGTGATAAAAAAATTGAAGAATAAGTTATATATAAACGTTTATCATCATTTCTAACTGATATAAGATCGTACCATTATAAATCTCTCTAAGAGTTATGTTGTTATCTCGGATATTTTATCCTTAAGATAATTATTAAGATTTAAAATAATCTCTACGAAATATTTCTTCTCTTTCAAATTCTATTTATGATATTATTCATCTATCAATAGAATATTTACGATTTATATTAAAAACACAAAATTTCTTGATAAAATTCAATGAAAAAAAAACGAATTTGTTCAGAAGCAGAAATATTATTTTCGAATTAATATTGAATTATCTGTAGGTATAAATATATATATATATAATAAAATGATAAAATAAAATTTCTATATCCATACGATATTTTATTATCTTATTAAAGAATATTCTGATGACATACCTATTCTCTTTACATCGAAATAGAGTACAAAAAAAAGAAAAGAAAAAAAAAATCTTTCATACGTTTTCTACTCATATTGATTTATTAAATAAAGATCGTAGGAAACATTTTATATATTGATATAGGAAGAGTTTTATCATTGTATTGCAGTTAAGAATAGATTTTTGTTTTTACTGATCGATAGAGAATTCGTAATAATAGTGTATAATATTATCGTTGAATTATTTTTATTATTAATCTAATAATTATTTATAAGATCTTGATAGAAGATAATAGAGAATATTTCGATTAATTCAATGTAACCATATATTAGATCTATTAGTTAATATAAATCGATATATATATTATTAATCCACAATGTAGAATCTTTCATTTCTATTTATATTAAATAATCGATTAAACTCTAATAATTAAATCTTATTCAATTAAATAAAAGAAAAATCTCGTTTAGACAAAACGATAAATTGTTGATTTTTGATTTAAGATTTAATTTTATTGATCTATTCTATACTGAGTCTATTATTTCTCTTATAAATCAATCTATATCAATCAGTTTGCCAGTTCGTTTAAGAAATAAAACAGATTTTCAACTATCTATTTTATTATTTCCATATAGAATTTATATCGGTTTTTTTAAAAGAAATAAATTCTTATGGTTTTTAAATCGTTCTGTATTTTTATTTAAGCTAAAAGGAATTGTTTATTTGTTAGAATAGTCTATTGTCGGTTTGATAGATATTCATATTCAATAATTTCGATAAATATCATCATTTTATTCCTTATATCGTTTAGTTTAAAAGATAAACCAGCATGGTACTCACGTTCCATAAAGACTATCATTGATTATGTTATAGATGTTATAGAAAAAGATGTTTTATTTAAACTTATAGGTTGTAGATAAGTTCCGAAAGATTTCTATCATTAAATCAATGTTGAAATTTAGAAATAATTCATTTAAAGATAATAAATGTTCGATAGATATGTTTTGTTTTAATTTGTTGGATCTATTCTAGTCGAATAGATCTCGATTTATCAATTCAATTTACCTTATTCCAATTCTAATCAAGTACCATTGTTAAATTCTCAATCTGAACAAAAAAAACAAACTTGAAAAAGTTTATAGAAAAATGTTTGATAATCTAGATTAGAAAAACTAATAACGATAATATTATATACTATTTTTAGGTAACAATTACTCTCGAAAAAACACTAAACATATAGATAACAATAGAAGATTTTGTTCTAATTAATATAAAACATCACCTTTTTTAACATTGACATTTGATTATATCTTACTCATAGATAACACTTATTCTCACAGTGACA